TGGGCAAAAACGTTGTTGCCCATTAATCACGGTCAATTTGGAATAATTTCAAATAAAAATAGAAGCCTTATTTACTCGTATTTTCAAAAACTGCAATAACGGTATATCATCCTACTTCCTACTAATATTATAAACGTGAAATTGGTGAGGATGTATGGATGTTCGTTATTCTTCCATGCAAACACTACTGAATGGACTTTAATGAAACTGTACATTTATATAGCTCAGAATAACACATAGGCTATAATTCATAAAGATATTGTGTAAATTGGCAAAATATAACGATAAATGTTAAATATGAGCTATTTTGGCGTGCGGTGCAAAAATTGTAAGAGTTACACACCAATATAATGTGCTTATGGTGGAATTGTTTCTGCAAAATTCTGCAAAATTGTGTTCTACAAAAAAGTCCACGACAGTATATACCTTAGGCGACTTTTATTTTTGGAATCCACGCAAAATAATTCCACGCGGGCGAAGTCGCGGGGAACAGCTAGTTATTTATATAGGTATTTGAACTTAAGTTTAAAATTTGGCTACTCTATGAAAAATAGCCCTGTATACTACATACCCGCCTGCTTAGCCCGATGAGTGGTTAATATGGCGCATCTTTCAAGGCTGCGTTTCCACCATAGACGCTGTGAAATAGTGCACAAATGAGTGGTGCAAGGATGTGTAGCGGGCTCGTTTCAGATGCGAGTGGGATGAGGTGTGGTGGGAGTAGAGCGCGCGCGCCACCGTCCGCTGCCCGCTGCTTCTTGCATCCTTCCAGCACACATCCCCCGCACATATCCCTCGCATACATCCCCCGCACACATCCCTCTCAACACATCCCCCGCACACATATCCCTCGCAACACATCCCCCGCACACATCCTTCGCAATATGCTTCAATCAAGCATGCTTCCCATGTTTTGTTTATACAAAAACTGCTCCGCTGAGCCATTTCCACCAGAGCTGCGCTGAACGAGGCTAGGTAAATGAAGTGGTTCTATTGGTTCTTAACAAACACATCCCTCGCTATGCATCCTCGTACATCTCTGGTGCAAATGCAGCCTTAGACTTCTCAACAAATTCTTGGAATGGCCTTTTGTAACATGACATGAAAAGGCTTTTTGTGAAAGATTATATTAATGTGTATTTTACACCATGAAAAGACTCAAGAAAAAGATTGAATTTTTACAATATTATTTATAATTTATTTTAATTTTAAATATTACATATATGTTTGGATTTATTTATATAAATCGTACAGTACAATATTACAAAATATAAACATATAAAAGTAATATTACGCATCAAATGTTTATACGTGTGGACAAACCCCTCTGCCCCCTTTCTGGTCCTCTCGTTTGTAGGTGATATTAATCTATAAAATAAAGAAATAATTCAAATAATGTTAACAGTTCTGCACCTAAGCAGCAGATCCATTCAACTGAAGTTAAAAATTGTTTTGAAGTATCATTATAATTATCAGTATGTAATATTGCCCCTAACTGCTTTCATTATTTATGTAACTAGTCTGGCGATAAAATAATGTTACAATTTAAATCCCGATTATTATATATACCTTCCGTTAGTAATTTGATCCACTGAACCTGGCAACACTTAAGTGTTACACAGTCGTAGGTACACATTTCTTTCGTTTCTTATGTGTGAGTTGGTGACACTGGTTCTAGTACAACTTATGCGCTCTTTGTCACTTCTTGTTTTTAAGATTTCGTGGTAAAAACTTAATGTCGAGGACATATTATGTAAATTGTAAAAGTGGAATATATTACTGATCAAGCTTATGAGGTTTTATTTACATTATATACTAGCTGGGTATAAAGCCTTATAAGTGTACTTTTAGACCCTTTGAGTGGACCAACGAATATATAAAAATCTCAAGGTGAACTAGAATATCATCTAAATAGTTTCAATAAAAACCATTAAGGGAGGATTTTTCCACATAATTTACATATACGGGACCACCCCTTGAGGACCTATTCAATAAAATAATAATCATGTAAATCGATTCCCAAACGACGAAAATGTGAACATTCATACAAAAACAGTCTAATTGAGAATCTTTTAGCCGATTTAAAAAAAAAAAGGTTTACAAACTTTTTGTACGTATGTTACTCGATATCGCCGTTAATTGTGAACCAATTCTTATTCTTTTTTTATTAAATAGGTTATTCTTTAGGAGTAGTACCACATAAATTTAAAGCACAGAATGCGATAAAACAAACAAGCATTATATTTTTACTTACTTATGAAATGTTCAGATGACTTCACGAAAATTGGATACTAATCTACATCTACATTCTAAAAATATGCAAGACTTATCTAGAACTTACTAAATCTAGATTTATCAAAAAGTTTAAAATGTTTATTACGTAAAAATTCTTTAGTAAGGGTTATTAATAAAATAACAAAAATGCAGGCTACTTCTAAATGATTTCATACTAATTGTATAAAATATTATATTGTAATTTTTAAAGTCCCGCTGGGTTTCTTGCTGGTTCTTCCCAGACAGGTTTTTCCCGAACCAGTGGTAAAGCTTAAAGAACTTTCAATAAGTATCCTTTTAATCTATATTGAAATAAAATGACTCCATTCTATTGTAAAGGTTTGGGTAACTCACTTCTGTGGAAACTCGTTACGCACAACTCAGAATGCTAACATACCACGCATTACTAAACATTATTCTAGTAATTTAAACACACTTCGCGTATTACGAATTTAGAGGGATTTTTGATTAAAAAAAAATTATGTAATTCTCTCCTATAAATCACCGTACTTCCTGCCAGAAATTCAATCAATTCGAGAGAAAAATTAAGTGGGTCAGAAATAGAAGAGAGAGTTATGTGCACAGAACAGTATTACATTATGTATAAATAAATAAAAGAAAATCTCGGGCGATCACAGTGAACGCAACTAAAACATTGGAATTTGAATCATTCCTAGCGCCAGAAAATGATCCTACGCAAATAGCGCTGCGGTGGGCGTTGTTAAAATTAAGCTAGTTTAGTTCGCCTTAACGTAGTAATTTAAAATGATTTCGCCGGTAGCAGTTACTGTGGTAGAGCTCTATTATATTATTATTATTCGGTTTTCGAGTATCAGACCCTACTTTCAGATTTCCACAAAATCGGCAACGGTATGAATGGACCATAAACGAAAAACCAGAATACATTTCACTTTAAAATATGTCCAAAAAGGATACAGCTAACGTAACACGATGTGCCAACACAGAAACGAGCGCCAGATTTCAAGATTTTTGCTGTGTTACCAGTCTAAAACAGGCATATTATTTTATTTTTTCATTCCGTGGTAAAATTATTGATAAATCGAAATGTGAAACTTCAATTAATTTTAAGAAGCCGTCGTTAAGGCCGATGAAAACAGTTTGTAATGTTCTTGCCAACTGCAACATGATGATAGCACGTAATCAGGGGTGTCACTTCCACTATGGAAGGTATGGAGCACTCCATACCTCAAGTTTTTCAAGGTATGGAATTCCATAGCTGAAATTAGGAAATAAATCGCATATTACTACAAACCCCATATAAATAAATCGCAAGCCCTTAAACCTCAATACCCCACATCTTATAGTTCAATAAATAAGTTGAGTATATACACTGCAAACTCTTAAACCTTAATACCCCACGAGTAATGCGAACAAATTTGAAAATCGCGCCACCATTTTCCATACCTCAGATTTTTACAAAGTGACACGCCTGCACGTAATAATCGCCAGAAAGGAAGTGTGTGATATATTTCCTTTAGGTTTAATAGTAAAGCGAATAAACAAATTAGATTAAATGATTTTAATTTATTTTATTTGGGCAGTTACCACAACTAACAACCAACAAATGAAAGTTCCTACACAAATTATAATACATATTTTACCTTGATTTTACAGGTATATCTAAATGTCGCTAACAAAAAATAAGATCCTCTTGAATTTATTAACATAACTATATTGTATATATATTATAATACCCTAATACTCATACATAGGTATTTGTAGTAATCATCAAAGTAAATTGATGTACCGATGTTAAAGACTAAAAAGAAGTTGAGTATTTAATACTATGCAAAATAAATACACTGCATAATGTACAATAAACAATGCTTTTTTTCAATCTGAATTAGAATAATATACGGCGTAGTATCGAAATAACAATTATGTAGTATACTCCAGTATACGCTACAAGACTACAACAAAAAATTAACAACTACATTGTATAATATAAATAATAAATAGAACCTTAAATGAGAACTATATGTATATAATAAATAGAACCTTAAATGAGCTGGCTAAATGGGAGAAGGTGGTTTCGTTTATAGGATAGGAATTTTATTTAACTAGGTATTAGTTACGTTTTTCAGAAAGAATTATCTTTACTGTTATATACATTTAGCTTTTTGGTTTCAAATTTGTATACTTGTTCGCAAAAGAAAAACAACTAATAATTTAACATGTATTCAACTAATGCTATAATATGAACAGCAATTGAATTATATAATATACAAACGAAACATACAATTACTGCTACATATACCACAGAATTTAAACATTTGTTTTAACAATATACATTTTAAATACAATTAGCAATAAATAATACAGTTCACTGATGTCCTTAAATAATAATTGTATTATTATATGTAATAAATTATTAGATGAAATGTCTTTACAAATCTAGTTAGGAATAGCAAATTAGATGATAGTATTCGAAACATTATAAATGAGATTGATTAAGGTGATAGAAGATACTGGTACTGCCGTCCAAAGCAAAATTAAAATTATCTTGCAAATATCAATTTGTGTTTCAGAATCAGGTTACTGCAAACATTATGGGAATATAATGCGAATTCCATTTTTAAAGGCAGAGAAAAATGGAGATTAATAATCCCCAACTTTCACTGTCTATTGCATTTTTGCACTTTTCCTGAGGACGTCAGCCATAATATGAAATCAACACTACAATAAAACAATACTGATGATGGTTTCTACTTTTCAATCATGTATCTAGGGATGTCGAACTTGACCTCGACGCCGGCCTTCTTAGCAAGCGCAACAATCTCAGATAGTTGCACAACCAATTTCGCGGCTTCATCAAGGTTGTCACGTGGTACAATACGGAGGCCTGAATCTGCAATCAACTTTCTTGCTTCATTTACTTTTGTTCCCTGTAAAAAGGTCATTATGCATTATTTATCTACTATAGATATATAAAAAGATTTGATTTACATATGTAGTTATGAAAACATATTTATAATTATAGAATTCATACTATTTAAACAAAATGTTATAAAGTAATTATGTTATATACCTGAAGACGAACAATCACAGGGATCTGGATATTAAGATTCTTGGCAGCGGTCACTATACCCTCAGCTATAACGTCACATCTCATAATACCTCCGAAGATGTTAACTAATATAGCAGTCACCTTTGGGTCTGATAGGATAATTTTAAATGCTTCCTAAAAGTTGAAATAAATAATGACATTTTTCATCTAATTCTAAAACTTAACGCCATAAATGCTTAAAATCAATAATATTTACAGAAACAGCTTGTGCCGTGGCACCACCTCCAACATCAAGGAAGTTTGCTGGGTCACCTCCATACAGCTTAATAATGTCCATAGTAGCCATAGCAAGACCTGCCCCATTCACCATACATCCAATATTTCCTATAACAAGAAAAACTGTTAAAATCCAAAGAAAATACGATGCATAAGTTCTAGTTCCTTCTTACTTATCCAAGTAAAGGTACTCTTATAAAAATATTATATTAGAATCACAATTCAAATATATTATGCGAACTAGATGGCGCTAGTAGTATTTTAAAACTGTGTGCAATCTCTTGCATTGATACCATCAAGTGTGCTGTATAACTCGTGATTATTTTTGTGGAAACGAATCGCACTTCTGTGACGTAAGGTTTTTAAAGATATACAGTGTTAAATAAACATACTAATAACTAAATTTTTGTCATTGTATTCAAGAGAGCAGACAGTCACCTGTCATGACCATACCCATGGAAAGACAGATTCTCTTACAGCACCACACCTAGGTTAAGGAAGTATTAATTTAAGTGAATACTTTTTATTTACTAAATACTTACTTATTACCTTAATTTATCAAAATTCCAATCTTTTGAACTACTGTAATATGAATACAATATTATCAAAACCTTACCATCGAGAGCAATATAGTTCAAGTTATATTTCGCAGCTTCAATTTCCTTTGGATCCTCCTGTGATATATCTCTTAAAGCAAAAAGTTCTTCTTGTCTAAATTCCGCATTGTCATCAAATCTAAATTTAGCATCCAAGCAAAAAACTGAAAAATTTAATAGATAGTTAAAACCTGTTCTTGATATCATTCTGACATTTAACTAATCAAATATCTTACATTTGCCAGAAACAGCATCCTCGGCATAAGGATTAATTTCAATAAGAAGTGCATCTTTTTTTAAAAACAGATCATACATCCTTTTAATCATTTCTAGTGCTTCTTCAGCATGGTCATCAAGGCCAATCTGTAGGATTTAAAAAATGAGTTACTTCAAACGTTAAAATAATAAATTTTTGGCCCAGCAACTAGGCACAGGCCTCCTTCATTTGTGAGAGGGTTTTAGATCAAGGAAGTTACCACCACACCACTCTAAATGCATGTTGGCAGTCCTCTTGTTTTCTATCAATGCCAAGCATATTTTAAATTAGTCGATTAATCAATGCAATTTACAGCAAGCAACACTTCGCCCTTGACCTACCAGAGCATAATTTTTATTTATAGAATAAAAGTGACAAACAAGCACACAGTCCACTTGATGGTTAATAGATGCCGTGACCCGTAGATACCTACATCTATCCTCAATTAAGAATCAAAATGTGGATGCATTGTTACCCCTGAGAGCTTAGATGAAATAACATGATTTCAGTGAAAAGGGTCTCCAGTTAACACCATATGAAGCTGCTATTTTACACGAGTATTTTATGAGTGTGGTCCTTTCCCGGTAGAGTCAATAAATTTGTGCAACAATCATAATATAGCTGCAGTGTGGCTCTACCACATATAAAATTGTTTACTTTCTTGCAGGTAGCTTAGTGGTAAAAAGTTATGTTTCAATTTACCTTCTTTACAACTCGACGAATTTGTTCATCTGTTATTCCAGTCATAATATCAATAGGTTCATATGTGATAGCATCAGGATTCTCAGCAGCCACATCTTCAATGTTTACACCACCTTGGGAAGATGCAATAATGACTGGTCCCTGGTATAAAATACACTTATTTTATTTGTCTTTAAACACTACAAATAATGTGTATTTGTTAAAAGTAGAACCTTGAATTGAATTAAAACGAAATACTGCTGTATATTATTAAGAACTAAAATTAGTTATTTAAAAAAACATTTAATTATAGAATGTACACATAGAGTTCTTGCTTTTTAAAGAATAGAATTACATTATTTTTTAAAATAAAGTTGAAGAAATACATGTTAATTCTATAATCACAAGTATAAATTACATACATTGAAGCTTCTTTCCATCATTATAGCAACATAGAATTCCCGACGTGGAAATTTCCTTTCAGTAATCATGACCATGTTGCAAATGCGTCCAGCAGCTCCTGTCTGCTTGGTCACCAAGTATTGTTGCAACATTTTGCTAGCAATTTCACCTGCCACTTCAGGACTATAAAAATTTGCTAAATTATTAAATCACATACCAACTAAACATACACTTACTAAAACTTATAGATATGAAATTCTTATGTAACCATTTATTTATATAAATGGTGTAAGAAAAGAGGATTAAAAACTTTAAAAGTAAACCTGAAAAAATTTACAATGTCATATCGGCATTTGTTAAACATGTAATTTAGCTGGTGGATTTTACTTAAAACTTTTATTCATATAGATTATATTCTAAATTTGTGATTGTTTAATTTCTATAATGTTTTATTTATCTATGTCTATGTGTTTAATTATAGGATGGTATTCTCATGTCAATTAAAATACTTTTGAAATGAAACTTTTTCCATGTGGTAGAGCCATGCTGCAGCTATATTACTGGTATAGTTGTAGTATGAATGGGTCAGCTCAACCGGGGAGGGACCACGCTCTTGCAGAATATCAGTGTAAAATAGCAGCTTAACGTTGCTGTGTTTCGTATGGTGAGTGTAGAGAACCAGAGACCCATTTTACTGGAAAATTCTTAGTACTCAGGGGTGACAACGCATCTGCATTTTGATTTGTAATCGAGGATAGATGTAGATGTCTATGGGCCACAGCAACCACTTATCATCAGGTGGACTGTGTGCTCATTTGTTACACTTATCCTATAAAAAAAACTTCTCATAGTGGAGAAATTTAGTAACATATTTTAAAAAAGTCACACTTTCTTGTAATGTTTCAGTGCCAGGTTGCACGAGTATACTATTATTTAATCTACTTATGTGAAATATAAAAAGAATGATATGTTGTAAAAAAGTTTCACTTCATGTGTGCACACAATTGATGCATAGTATACATGAAACTGTGCCACTATAGCATTACATATCTCGGCATAATATACATTGAAGCTTGTAATCCCCACTTTAGGACAATCATAGAATATATTTGTTTTTTCAAAAAATTATTATATTTTACTAATAAAAAAATTTACTTGTCAACCATGCGAACACCACCTTTGAGACCATTTTTAAAAGCTCCTTTTCCTCTTCCACCAGCAAGAACCTTCAAGAAAACAAATTTATAAAGTTGGGTTTAAATATTCAAATTAATTATTTATTGATATTTCTTGATAAATACCTGGGCTTTGAGAACAATATCTTTGGTGTTAAGTTCTGTGGCAAACTTAAAAGCCTCTTCCTTGGTCTTGGCAACATTAAATTTTGGTACTGGGATACCATGATCACGTAATAATGTATAGCTTATATATTCATGGACATTGAGATGTCTCACTTGTTGTTTGTTTGGAAGGTTGTTTGCTGTTGTTGCGGCCAATATCTGCATTAAAGATTTACTATAATAATACAATTAAAACAATGCATGTCTATGAAAAAAAGAAATCATGGATTTAAACATTTAAAAAAATATAAATGCATTATGTATGAAACTAACAATGTAGTGGCAGTGTAAGAATATCCACTACATACAATGGGTGTCGTAAGAGGCGATAGTGGGAAATGAAACAGGAGATGGGGAGCTGTCTGCATCTTCCTGAAAGTAACTGAAAATAAAAAAACCTGCAGTTGCCAACCTGCCTGCCAGGCATGCAAATATGACCTAATCGCTCTTATAAGGCACTTTAGCAGTGGTTTTTATAGGTAGTAATGGATGAATGGATAGACATAGATAGATGTATAAAAAGAGTTGACATTTTTCATATTAGTTTGGTAAAACTATTAAAGTGTAAATAAATATTAAAATTTAATACCTACTACGAATAAAAACTGAATATTATACAACTAAAATATTAAATAAAACAAACATTGTTACGAGCCGATGACGTAAGGCTAGAGCCATACATCGACAAGGTCAATGCGTAAATATTTGCTTTGAAATTAAAATGAAAATTGTATAGAGAAGGATATTTAATAAAAAATTTGCTAACAATTTATTAAATATTATAATGCGTTTGTTTTAACAAAATAAGTAGAAAAAAATCATGTTCAAACTTTATTATTTTCGTACATTTAGAACATAATCAATTGAAAATTTTTATTACAATTCACAACTGGTTTTGATTTAATTTACCTTAGTCCCATTTTTAAACAATATTGTTTCTGCAAGACCAAGAGAACGAGGGAGTAAAGTCGCCATTTTTCCTGCTTAACCACTTCGCTACTTCCCTTCCTGAAAGTACTCTGTGTTAACCACAGAGTACAGTTCACAATGTACTTTTTTGTAGCGGGAAGTACATAGATAAATAAATATGTAACAAGCTAGAGAAGTACAGTTAAATTTCTATTTAGAACAAAATTATGGAGTGTAGAGTAGAAGGACCATATCTGTATAGTGTATATGAAAAGTGTCCCTAAAAACGCGTCCAATAAGGGTGGCGCTGCAGTAGCATAGGATAAATAAAAAAAAGCCAAAATTAATTAGAATATGATGGAGAAATAAACAAGGATCGACTAATCCGCTTGGTTTTGTACTACGTAAATAGTTGAGGTTTTGTATACTGGCATTTTACTAACTACTCTAGTCATGAAATTTTTAAATATTTAAATTCAGCAGCTGAATTCACTCCGTCTACAACAGCTATATTCATATCGTAGTTTTTCAGACGCCAGCGCTATTGTGGTAGGTTTTGGAAACTCTTATAAGATGGTTCTCCTTCTATTCTACACTCCATAAACAAAGTTAAACCTTTTGGATATAGCGTAGATAGAGGATTGATTGATAAGATATTATGTCTATGGGATATAGACTATTCAGTTGTTACAAGTCTTCAATTAAAGCTAGTAAACGTTATAGACCATACCGTCTAGTCCGATTTTATTTCTTCACGAAATTATTAACAATAAACTGATTATTGTTAAATAATCTATTGCAAAATCTATTGCTAATAATATATTGCAAAATTCTTAGGAAAGTTTGACTAAAATGTAGTATATACGCTTTCATTTAACTAGTTTAACTGCTAAAGCGTCGGCTGTATCCAAGTGGATAATTAAAGGCGGCTACTGACATGCCTGCCGCAGGGGCAATCTAGGGTGTAGGAGTGGGGATGACCCTTAATTGCGGTATGTGTAGCCAAGCAGGGGCAATTTTTTAAGTCGGCCCTGCGGCAGGGCGGCAGGAGTGCAAGACCTTCCTTGCTACACAGCCCTGCCGCTGTCGTGTGTGTAGCGCAATTGGGGCAATTTCAATCAGTTCGTTGCGACTTTCGCACGGAGCACACGTATGAGTGCAAGTCAGAACCGCAGAAAGAACGTTATTTGAACGTTGTAACTTACAAGTAACATTACTGGGATTTGTTACCTAACTTATCATAAGGGCTAGTATGGGAAAGAAAATATTCCAATAGTATTAAAATTGCTGGAATATAAATAAAATGTCATTAACTAAATATGTTTAGGCCAAACAATTAACATTTGAAATTTGCATTCAACACTGGTGTCCTTCCGCTGACTTTGTAAAGGTCATCGTTGCCCCACTCCTGTGTGAGTCGCTCGATGCGCGGGCCGAAAAACAGCAGCTTTAGTGCAGCGACGCCGTAGCAACGTAACTTTGTGGTGACCATGGCAGCGATTTCGTGCGACCAGTTTTGGTTTTAACAGGTCTAGATTTTCAGTATTTGTGCGCGTTACTTCGCTAGTTAAATTGTGTTTCGTGAAGACCGTCTCGAGTTCGGTTGTCTCAGATTTGCTGTGAGTCTACTCGAGCCGCGTGGTTACCTCTGATCGTGTCGATTTTGTTAGCAAATTTATGCAACGACGAGGAATTGTGTAGTCTAGAACATTAGACGCCGGGTTGACTAATTGTTGGGAAGTTAATGTTTAATTGTACCGTCGCGTTAAGTTTTTTTTTATAGGAGAGGGGGCAAACGAGCATGCGGCTCACCTGATGGTAAGTGACTACCGCCGCCCATGAACAGCTGCAACACCAGGGAGGGAATCGCAGATGCGTTGCCGGCCTTTTAAAAAGGAGTACGCTCTTTTCTTGAAGGTCCCTAAGTCCTATCAGACCGGAAAAATCGCTGATGGTAATCGATTCCACGAGGAAGTCGGGCGAGGAAGAAAACATCTTCTAAATCGCACAGTGGTGAACCACCAATCATCCAGATGGTGTAAATGGTATCGGGAGTTCTGCCGCGATGTGCGTTCGTGAAATTTGGCGGCTGGGATTAATCCGAACAATTCCACAGAGCACTCCCCGTGGTAGATGCGATAGAAAATGCAAAGAGATGCAACATCTCTTCGCAGTACCAATGAATCGAGCCGATCGGAATGGACTCGGTCGACGGCGATTCGAGCCGCTCTGCGCTGGATGCGGTCAAGTGGAAGGAGCTGGCACTGGGGAGCCCCAGCCCAGAGATGGCAACAGTATTTCATGTGAGGCCGAACCTACACCTTGTAAAGTTGCAGGCGGTGTGCCGGCATGAAATACTGTCCCGCTCTGCTGAGCACCCCAAGCTTTTTAGAGGTCAATTTGGCCTTCTCTTCCAAGTGACCATGAAACTGCTCGTCACTCGATATGTCGACTCCGAGGATTCCGATACTGGCTGAGGCAAGAAGGAGAGTGCCTTGAAACTGAGGAGATACGACAAAGGAGTTCTTTTTAGCGGTAAACGCGCAAATTTGTGTCTTCTGAGGATTAAACTGGACTAGATTTAGTCGCCCCCAATCCGAGACTTTGTTCAGCAAAGACTCGACTTCAGACACAAGTTTGTTCCGGTACTCGGCGACGTTTTCCCGAGAAATATCGGCACGGCCGGTTTATAGAGCATCACCAGTGCTGTCATCCGCAAAGCAATGAATGTTACCAGTTAGCAACATATCATTGATATGCAGAAGAAACAGCGTTGGTGATAGCACACAGCCTTGTGGAACACCAGCGTTAATAGGCTTGTAGTCAGAACATGCACCGTCTACAACGACCTTGATGCTCCGATCTGCAAGGAAGCTGGTGATCCAATCGCACAATTTCTCGGGAAGCCCATAGGAAGGGAGCTTCGAAAGAAGCGTTTTGTGCCAAACCCGATCGAAGGCCTTCGCAATGTCCAAACTAACGGCCAACGCCTCCCCTTTGGACTCTACTGTCTCTGTCCATCTATGGGTCAAGTAGACAAGAAGATCACCAGCTGATCGACCCCGACGAAAACCGTATTGGCAGTCAGCTAATAATTGATTCCATTATTTTGGAGAACAAGGAGGTGATCGCGATAGGCCTATAGTTGGACGGGTCTGATCGGTTGCCTTTTTTAGGGATCGGGTGGACAAAAGCTATCTTTCATGAATTCGGGACTACGCCTTGGGAGTAGGAGTACCAGAAAAGACGCGTTAGGACCGGTGCCAACTCCGGAGCACACGTCCTCAGCACAATTGGGGGATTCCGTCAGGCCCACTCGACATCTGGATGTCCAGGGAGAGGAGTGCTTTGCGAACCGAGAGCTGTGAGAACAACACATCCGGCATGGAGCACTCACACCACGGGATGATCGGCGGTGTTTTCCCCCGTCATCAAGAGTCGAGTTGGACGCAAAAAGGGAGCCTAAAAGGTCGGCTTTCTTTTTTGCGGCTTGGGCCAGTGAGCTGTGCAGAGATGGTAGTGATGGATTACAGAAATTCCCTTGGACAGCCTTGGCGAGAGACCAGAATACACGGGTTACCGAGGAAAGGCGAACTAGTTTCTCGCCAATTCTGCTTATGTGCTTTGACTTTGCCTTGGCAATAACTCTTTTGAAGGACCTGAAGGCGAAGTTATACTTCTTTTTAAGTTTGCTGGTGTTTACATCCCGAGTCGCCGAAGCCGCAGCCCAGGCTTGATAACACTCCTGCTTACTGCGTAATGCAGTCTTACAGGAGCGACCAAACCAAGGTTGAGATCTGCCTCCGATAGGTACCACAGAAGATGGAATAAATTGTTCCATTCCCTGTAGCACTACATCAGTGACAGAATTAGCAACAGCGCTGGGATCATCCGGCTATAAGCAAACCCGCCCCCATAGATAGGAAGCAAAGAAATACCGCATTACGTCCCAATCCGGCGACCTGTAATGCCAAACACGGCGGCAACCTGCAGAACACAACCGCGAGGGGAACGTGAGTGGCTCCACACTCCGGATCAGATAATGGTTCGAAGAGCCGAGAGGGGCATCGACGGAAACCTGATATCCGTCCGGATGAGAGGTCAGCAGAAGGTCCAACAGGGAAGGTGTATGATCCTCCATATCTGGAATCCGCGTAGGCGAAGTAACCAGCTGTGTCAGACCATATGCCAAAGCAAAGTCAAACAGATCTCCCCACATAATCGGTTAAACCTGAACCGAGCCATTCGGCGTGGTGGGCGTTAAAATCGTCAAGGATCACGATCTCTGCGGATGGGACCTGTTGTAGCAAAGAATCTGTAGCCATTTGGACGTGGTCAATGAGTCGGTCTGTGTCGGCATTACCACTATGGGACCTATAGAGGCACCCGTAGACGCGCGGATGGTCGTCACTGTCTACGCGTAGCCATAGGATGGACAGGTCCGAACCTTCAAGACTGCCGAGACGTCGAAAACAGATGTCCTTTCTGACATACACGCAAACTCCAGCCCGAGGCACAAAGGAGTGCTCCAATTTGTACCCCGGGTAGGAGAGATACGAAATATCAGCCGGAGAGGAAACCTGCGTCTCGGTTAGAAAGGGCAGGGGTCGTCTTGGTCTTGTTGCTCAGTTTGCCCCGAGTAGTTATGTTTTGAGCGGTATTTTGCCCCCCCCCCCCCCCCCAGAATACGCGGGGCAGCCTGAGCACCCATGCTCAGGAGTGGAATAACATGGTCGTGGATGCTCAGCTAGGGATTCTCCAGGGGTGCTAGTACCCTCCTGGGGAAGTCTAACGTGTGATGGTACCGGGGAGGGGGGGGGGGGGGGGAATTGGGCCTCCGGCCACCTGCACTCACCAGACGAAACGCAGAAGCAGAGCTTCTACCTCACGCCGGTATTCTGTGAGGTCGTGGTACCAACCCGGCTCGAGCCGGCCCATACGTGCAACAGCAAAAACTGCTGCGTGGCTCTACCACCGTTAAAATTTAAGATTTAGCGAATAATTAACACAAAACTATGTAAGTAGTATAGTTGTAGCACAAATGGGTCGGCTCGACCGGGGAAGGA